CTTGGCACAAAGTCCCAGGAGAAGAGAATTTACTGGGGTTTTTTTCTGGAGATCATATGTATTTACTAGCAATACCCAAGGGAGTTACACATTTGTATTTCTACTGCTAAAACGGTAACTGTCCAGTCAAGTATTAAGAGCTATTTCATCCTTTGCTAAGAGGACAATCCAGTGTCTTTTTAAAAGTTGAGTAATCTTGAAACTCTTTTTGTTTTCTACTTTGCTTGATAAATTCTAGTTTTCCCATATTTCAGCTCTGTGGAGCAGTGTGGGTAACAGACTACCTAGCAAAGCTCCAACATATTCTTGTAACAAAAAGTTACACAAACAAAGCAGGCAAAAATAGTTGTAATAATTTGATATTTTTCTAGGAAATATATAAGGCTTCCTGGAGGCGTGTTTTAAAATACAAAATTTACAAAATTAAAATACAAATTTATTAATTAAATTTAGCTTTATTACCAGTCGTCTCTGTTCCACTTGCACCACAGTTACTTCTTTTTCCGTTGCAGCTGAAGTAAGAACTTGCAAAATTAAAGGAGGTTCTTCCCTTCAATACATGCCCATGTTTTTTTAAATCTCAAAGTACAGCCAAATTTTTTGCTGTCATAAAATGCAGTCATATCTGTGTCTAGCTTTATATAGCAAGATACATAGCCATATTAAAATGCAACAGATAATTCCCATATTGATAACACTAATCTGCCTTGGTTTGGATAAAAAAATGCAGTGTTTACCACAAAAGCAACTGCATAATTGGAACAATATACTTTTGATTTTAATGCAAAAATAAAATATAATGATTCTAGAAAGATTTCAGCTTCAGAAACAGTTCCTTACACTAGCTTAAAAGTCATATTTCAGTTAATTATAGATTTCTTACTCACTAAAACTTAAAGATACATTCACTGATTTTTTTTTGCTAAATGTTGACTCCAGTGAACAGCTCTCTAAGATCTGGCATATTGATTTCTTGTTGTGAAGTGAGCTGTTCAAGCTCCATTTAAGATTTTCATCTTGCATGTAGCCCTGAGCACATCATAGCACCATAAATTAGTTAAATTGCACATTTATCACAAATGTTATTTTAAGATACTGCGTAAATGTGATGGCTGGAAGATATACAGTATGCCACAACAAGCCACTACTTGGGTGGGGTTAGACCAGGGTCACCTTTATACACCTGTGATTTAAAGCTCTTCCCACCCCATCACAATTTCATTTTTAAACTCCTTCTTGAAGCATTTTGTTTTCTCTCTCACTCAATCTGCATATTTCTAAATAAAATATCAAATGCAAAGCAAAAGTCAGAACTCGGCTGCATATCCTGCATCCACACCTTCATGTTTGTCTAATAGGAAAAAAATTACCTTAACATAGCTAGGTTGGTGATTTGGTTAGCACTAATAGTTACCATGCCAATATACATATCAGTGTATGGATGAAAAGAACATTATTCTAGTTCATTGATTCTCTAAATTCTTTATAATGTGAAATCACATTGGTATGCCAGTCCTGGAGGTTCTGGAATGCAAGCTGAACTTTATTTTAATAAAATTGGGATATGCAGATCCTGACTAGCCATTCATTTGCAAAGTTTCAAGTGTATTTAAAAAATGTATTAAAAAGTCATTTCTGGTGCACATTAACAGATGTGGTTGCTCCCTGAATTTTTACCCGGTATGTCTCCTCACTGCACATTCAGACCTAGGTAAGTCAGGCCCAGGAACTGACTTTTACCAGATTAGGTGCAGTTGCATCAGTGATATTTGGTGTTTGCAATCATCGACCCCTCGTCTGTATTTTAAGAATAAGTAGAAGGAACACTGCAAAAGACTCTGTAGTCTCTTGCTTTTACTCCCTCCCGTGTCCCAGATAACGGTATTGCGTACAGAGCTTTTAGCATTACTATTATAAGTCAATGGTGCATCTTAAAAATACATTGATTGACAATATATGCAGTAATCTGCCAGTCTCCTTATGTGTGAATTTCTGGTTTGCAACCAAATACTATATTTAAGCTGCTATAATTTTCAAAGGAGGAATTCTCTGCTGTAGAGGTAAAAAGTTTGGCTGCATTTAGACTGAGAACATCTATTTGCAAAAAATGTGGACAGCCACCCAGAAGGCTTCATAAAAGACTTCAGCTAGCCAGGTTGCCTCTCCTAACTAAGCGAGGGGGACTCCTGGGATGGTACAGTCAACCAGTAAAACGGCATGCTGCAATTTTATTGCTGGAATTTGAGCTGAGGCCATAAACGTTGACACACAAGTGACCTTAAAATCAGATACAACTGTGAGCCAAAAAAGGAGGAAAAAGCCCAGAGCCCTAACCATTAATCCCAGTCACTAGGTCTGCTTGGCAGTATTTGCTATAGAATGAACAGAACACTCCGATACATTTTTGAAGACGTGGCACTGGCCTTTGCAATTACAGAGAAAGACGGAAAGAAAGAGAGAAAGACGGAAAGAAAGACAGAAAGACAGACCGACAGGCAGAAAGACAGAAAGAACCAAAGATTTAATTAGTTGTTTACTGGAAGACAGTGGATTTTAAAAAAAAATGAAAGGGAACTCTGTACACTTGACATTCGGATGCTAGTTATTACTTGAGACATGATTCTTAAGTGCTGTAATGGTGGTTTTGGTTCCCATGTAACCATCTCCAGACTCTGAGTTCACCTGACTGGCAAAAGACATTATTTACATGCATAGTAATATAGGTGCTTCGGAGATGCAAATTGTTTTCAATGGTTTTGATGGGATGACCTGTCAACACCGGTAAAAGTCTGTCATTATCACATAAATGCTCCCGCTTGTTTGCATTTGTTTGGCATGTGTTTATTCATCTTCTTTTCCCCTCTCGCTATCTGCTGTGAATGCTGTACAACAGCAAGTAGGGCCGTAAGAGGACTCCCTTCAAAATCACAAAGTTTAAGTCATGGGTCTCAAGTTCCTACTCCTGTCATCAGAAAATGCTGGGTAGATGGAAAGCGATTCTCTAAGCCGTGAAATACCCACCGGTGCAACTCGCAGACTCTGCTCAATACATTCAGGGGGAACGCGTGCGAGTAGCAGTATCTGCCTGGGTCTGAATACACAGCACAGCAAAACACCTATTTCCTTTGCCACACATTGCTTATAAACCCTGTCTTCACAGTCAGCCTTACCTGATGTTTAAAAAGGAGTTTTAACGCTCATTTATCTTTTCTGGGGGGAAAAAAAACTGTTAATGCAGCCTTTGAATAAGTGCTACCCTGCTCTTTAAATGCTAAAGTTCACTAAAACTCCAGTGATTTATGTGCAGCTTTTGACTGCCAGCACCTGGCAGATGAAGAAACCTACTCAAGCTTCAGTCATAAACAGATAGCATACAATTTAATTTTAATGTGCTCGTTAGTCGTAGCACATTTCAGACATAATTGTGAACGCAACACAAAATTATAGCAAAAAGACAATTTTAATGCTGCTGTAGAAAAAAAGGTTATATGAAGAGTCATATAATGGTGCTTCATTGTCAACAACAAAACAGGGCACAGAGTGCATTACAGTGTCTGTGCTGTTTACATGCCAATATTTTATACATAGATTCTCATATGGTGTCAGCTGTCAGTTACTTCTGCAAATTAACTGCCAAAAATGGAGACGAACAGAATCACTTAGTGTGCTGGTAACCACGGGTTACCTTTCATATGCCTAAAGATAAAGCTGCAGTATGGAATCTTGGGAGAATAATTAGGCAGAGCAAAACAGAAAGTTACCAATTGAAATAAAAAGGCATTCTACAATAGGAAATAACAACCAAGAGTGCTTATAAATAAGTAAAAGAGGTTATATCACAGAATGCCTCATAACTTTTAAGCAAAGTATTACAGTACAAACATTTTAAAGGCTTTATCAATGTTTAGGAAATACAGTACAAGTTTTTCAAATAGATTTAACCCTTTGAGCACTGAGTTTATTTTGAATTTTCTCTTTTTTTTTTTTTTTTACTAATAAATACCTTTAAAAGTTATGTTGTGCAAAACAGTTAGAATGCATGCCAGGAATGCAGTCCGTGGCTTCTGTTTCTTCAGACGGTTTAAAAAAAAACCAAACAAACAAATGATAGCAACACTAATAAATATGTATAATTTAAACATGAACCTCTATTAATATAGATGTACTGTATAGCAAAACAAAACAAAACATACTTTGCTTTAAGAATAATGTTTCTGAATACTTTATAAATGCTATCTGTGGTATCTTTCATTATATAATTTACAATGTTTGGATGTTAAAAGAAAAACCGTTAGATCTAAAAAATGAAATATACACTATATATAGGTACAGTTTATACCTGGGGCTTATCAGGTACAAAACCCACTGTTGCTAAAAATGCTGAAGAAAAAGAAAACGGTATTAACCACAATCACATTTTCCATAAGAGATTTTGAAATCTATACAATATATACATCTATGTTTCAATGTGAAAATTATATTTTTAAATTTCAAGGTGTGAGACACCTCTGCATAAATGGAGGTTCATATTAGTAATTGGAACTAAGCTGGTAAAGGTTTAAAAAAAACATATCCATACATTTTTACCAAATTAATGCAAAAGTGCTTCAAAGTACTCAGAGGGCTAAAGATTATAGGGTGAGAAATACCAGCACACTTAGGTCACATGAAAAAAGTGCACCAGAATTAGTTATAAATGCTTAATTAAACTGTCTGTTAATGCATGCAGCTTGATGCATCAGAGGGATGCACAGCAACTAAATCCAATTTACACAAAGTTCCAAACACTTACCACTGCATTTTAACCTTCATATTTTACCAGTAACAACAGCTGATTATGCACCTCTATTTAAACACTGTACAGTTATACAAAACAGTTCAGCCCAGAGCGACTCTGGAGTTAAAATAAGAACATGTGCCAAGAACTAAACAGTAGCTTTAAGGCGTCTTTGACAGTTTTCCTCAAAGCAAATTACAGTTATTTTAATCAAAAGCAAATGCTACTGCTTCTCTAACTCTGAAACATACAGAAGATGATCCTCTGGTGACTTCCCATGTGTTTTACTAAGATGAAGTTTAACAGCATGCTTGCTTGCAAAAGTCCTGTTACAAAGTTTGCACTGATAAGAAGTTCCGATATCTTCCTCTGGAGAGGACGTCACCAGTTTTTCAGACGGTGACTTTGCTTGTGCTATCTGATTGTTAATCTGTTCACTGGACAGTTTGGACAAGTCTCTTAACCTGAAACCCAGATGCGATTCAAGATGACTGATATAAGTTGAAGGAGTTCTGATCTGTGAAGCACAGTCATTACAAAAGAACACTGGGTGCCCAGTGTCCAAATTTTTAAGGAACTTAGTTCCCCCCGTCCTTCGGAGCTGGTATTTCACATTGGCTAGCCAGTGGCTAATTGTCGTCATTGAAAGTCCCGTAAACCTGGAAATGTGCATTCTTTCTTGAGGGCTCAAGTCTGACATGATGTATTTTCCCTCTGAAGTCTGCCGTAAACTAGCTGCAAACTGGGCCTGCAATATGAGCAAGTGCTGAGGGTTCCAGTTAGACTGACGCCCCTTCCTTTTCTGAGCTGGTGTACTCTCTTCTGGTTCCTCTATTGTGGTACCATCAATGTCAGATTTCTCAGATATGCTGGAAGGTGTGGAAGATTTTGATGTGTGACTTTCTGTCAGGTTCTTCAGCATATCAGATATATCTGACAAGGCATTCTCGCGTAGCGGCGAGTTTGACATGAATGACACGACTGCAGATGTCTTTGCTGTTGTCACTGTAGATGAAGAAGATGCAGAAGATGTCGATGTGGATGACAAAAGCGCTGAACCCAAAGAGCAGCTTTTGTCACTCTTGCCTTTCGTCAAATCTATGGGTTGGTCATTGTTGACATGATAAAAATAACGGTCTAAGTGGTCTGTTTTTTTGGACTGTAGAGGTGGGGTGGCCACTGCAGCCTTTTCTGCCAAACTGTTGCTCATTTTAAAAAGCATGCTCATTGGATCCAAAGCGGGCAAAGATGGCTTTGCTGCCTTCCCAAGGTGAATGTTCATGACAGACTGCAGTGCACTTAATGGATTTACAAATGGCTGTTCGGGAGGGTGATCAGTAATGATAGCTGTGCTGCTACTTAAAGAACTCACAATGGACTTAACAGGCTCTTTCCCGTTTTCCACGGGTTCTACAGTTGGACTATCCTTGCAACCATCTCTCTGAGGGACTGGGCTGTTCTGCTGGCTTTTAAGGCCACCATCATTGGAGGACTCCATCTTAAGGGGTTCGCCGACTTCACTACTGCATGGCGAAGGCGTTGCACGCTTCATTGGAGAAAGCTTTCCTTCAGGCTCTTTCATTTTTTCCTCCACTTTAGCCACCTTCTCAGTGACTTTCTTTACCAATTCTTCCATGGCGTGAAAGTTTGTTTTTGGCACAGGTGAGGTCTGACTGCTTGGTGGAGACACCAAGGGCTGGTTTTTAGTTGGTGATACTAGTTCATTGTTTCCAAACATAGGTTTTAATGGTGTACTCTTCCCAGATGAACCCAATGACAGCTTCATCATATTAGGCAGCTGATAGGCAGCATGAATGCTGGGGTAGCCACCCCAGCTTGGCGTGCCATTCTGGGCTTTGTTTATAGCTGATGTAACTGTGTTTTCTAAAGACTTCAATATATCTAATCCCCCCTTAGGGCTTTCTTCTAGGTCATTTTCAGTCAAGTAATGGTATTTTGAGGAGATATCATACTTCTCCTCATCTTCACTTGACTTTTCTTTGTCTTTCGTTTTGTCATCAGCAATGCCTCTTTCTTTATCTACTTCTTTTTTTATTTCAACGTTTAATTTAGGGGAAACACTAGAAGGTGTATTGGAAGGAGACGTAAAAGTGGTGGCAGCTAGTGGCACAGACTGGACTTTCTCATCTACTAAGGACGTTATTGTTGGTGTCGCTGGGGCTTCTATAATTGGCTTCCCTTTTTTCATGGCAGAGTTAGTGACTTTAATAAAATGTCCCGTCACCATCATGTGAGCCGTGAGTTCTTGCAGAGTGTCATGCGAACTGCCACACTCCATGCACTTCAGAATTTGAGATTTCCTCGCCTCAAAGTGCCAGGCATAGCTGGCACCGTTCTGGTGACCATAGCGATTATTTGGCGTAATGTAAGGATTAGAATTCTTTTGAAGTGCATCGTTGGTATCTGAGATTGTTGCTTTTGGTGTCCCACCTGTGGAATCTGGAGAACTTGGAAGTTCAAGCTCCAGCGATGCTTTCTTTCTAGTAACTGGGATAATTTTTGCTGCTACAGGTGTAACAGGTTCCTTCAGAGGCACTTTTTGGTAGTGTTTTGTTTTGATCATATGAACACTCAAATCCTGAAGAGATTCAAATGAATGACCACAGTACATACACTTTAATACTTTCTGGGCATCTTCTTTCCCTTCCATTTCAAGCAAAGAACGTTTACGAGGTTTGGACCATCTTTTGGGGTTATTGTTATCAGTTTCATGGTTGTCATCTCGATAATGTCCCGTTTCATTCATGTGCACTGTTAATTCTACTAAAGTATCATAGGCAGCACTGCAGTCTTTACAGCGGAATTTACTGGCTCCAGTAAATATAGAGCCATAAAGCTTACTGCTTTGTCTGTACAATTGAACTGTGCTAAAAAGACTTGGTTCAGGAAGAATTCTGCTCTGAGAAACCTGCTGCAGTGTTTTAGCCATAGCAGTCTGGTGCCAGTCAAAGCTGCCACTACCACAACTGCTGCTGCTGCTGCTGCTACTGCTGCTGCTACCATTGTTTTTTTCTGAAATCGGCTGGTGAAGGTTCAAATTGAGATTGGACCAGTAGGAATTGGAGAGGAAGTTATTATATACAGCTTTCATTTGTTCTAAACTATCAGATACAGTAGAGTCTTCCAGTGGTATTGAAACCTCCTTGCTCTCTTCCTCATTTTTAATAGAGCTGCTCTCGAAGTCTGCCATGCGGTCACTTGTCTCACTGATATGTGACTCACTGTCCATTTCATGGCTAGAAAATTCAGCTGCTGGAGAGTTTTGGTAGCTTTGGCAGTTCTTACTGAAGTCTTTTTCTGGACATGCATATTTTGCTGAAGGCTCCCCATCAACTGCATTTTCATCAGGTTCCACATCTTCTTCTACGAGTGCTGCCGCTTTTAGTTCGTCTGAAACATAGGCTATTATGAAGAGAAGAAAATATAAGTTAGTTTCTGCTGATCATACTTTTGCTTAAGTGTTTTAGCCAAAGAAGTGTACTTATTTGTAAAATTAAACAGTTAAAATTTAGTGTTTCTTCAGAGCAAGAAAAAAATCTGCTCTTCAAACATAATTTGCCACCTTATTCTTCTCAAGGGGCAACAGCTTGAAATTAAAACTAAATTTGAAATTAATGAAGCACATTCTGGAGGTGGCATTCATTTCTAAAGTAATAAATTACTTGTATCAACCTCAGAGACAGCAGTTCCTGTCTGTCAATTAATATGTCTTATGCTTCTCCTACCCCTAATGCATTTCTTAACAGACAGATTCACAATTTAAATTAAGCAAGCATTTTTTGCTCATTACAGTTTTGAGACTCAATCTTTAATAAACATAGAGTACAACAAACATCAAAAATTCCTACAAAGTAAAAAAATCCCCAGTTACGATCATCAAAAAACGAGATTTTTAAAAAGTTACCATTATTAGTAGTATCATATTTTAGAGGAGGAGATGGTAAAAGCAGGTGACACAACCTTTTGAAACAACTCACTAAGAGGAATGTGAGGATATTCATTATGGGTGTAACAAATGACCCATTCACATTTAAACATACCTTTCTCAACAAGAAAGCCCATGCAGAATTATGTCAGGAGCTAGTTCAAGAAAATTGGTATGCTGTACTCATTCTTGCTGTATAAATATATACAAGACCTTCCAGTGGACCTTACAAATGTCAAAGTGTTTGCTCTTTAGACTACTTTGTCAATATTTACTCAGCATAAGCTACACGGGCACCCAACAGGGATCCTGTCTTTCCCCCCCACCTCAAGTAATGCAACTGGTGATGTAAATCTAAGATACTCTTCCTGAATAGGATAGTTGGGAACTGACAGTAAACACATTCTTTTTTCTGTGGTGCTTCTGTGCACATACTCTACATATACTAAGTCTACCTGAGTTTTTTCCTTCAGGCAAGAGAACTATGGAAACACTAAGAGAGGGATCATTAACTGATCAAAATTATCTATTTCTATATAATGCCTTAATTTACAGCTAAGCAAGAAAGCAAAAATAGAACATGACTGTTCTGTATTAAGTGCAATTTAAAATTTTCTTGCACTCTCTCACAAGTACAATTACAAACTTTGAAAAAAATGCATTTCCAGTAGACTCTATAGTTGAAGACACTTGACTTTTGACCTTCTCTGCAACACATCTGGAATGTGTGGGTATCTGTATCTTAAACACATTGAATAATCTAGAGATTGTTTATTCAGGCAAAAGTGCAGAGAAGATAACAGTTTACACCCCAAAAAGACCTCCTTTAACCAACAGACTGAAAAATGTAGAACAGTACAGCAGACATCACACATACAGTATTGAACCTTGCAAACTTCTTTCAGGGAAAGTATGTTTAAACATTATCAGAAAATCACAAGAGATAAAACAACTGTTAAAGTAACAATGAAATCAGGCTTTTCATTTCACGTGGAGTATTTCTTCATTCAGTTAGGAAATACAAAATATTCACTACTGTTCTTTCACATGGATGAATGGTAGCTAATCTTCCTCCAAGCATGTAAAGTTATAATCTGATCTTCAGAATAGAAGTTAAACCTTTGAAAGCGCAAACATATCACATAAGAGCAACACATAATTGTGATTATATATTTCAGCTCAGACAATTTCAACACAGAAAATTCATACAGCAAGGGTCCTATTTTTAACGTTTGGGAGAACATAGTTTGAAAGAATTATGTTAAAAACTTTATTATAAGATGTTTCGAAGATGCTGATACGAAGATCAGACTTTAACAACAAGTATATGTACTCTAATGAAATAGAGCTGTGCTGTTTTGCTCTGTTTTATGCTTTTTCAAAATATTTTGAATTAATTCAAGAGTCCTTATTTTATTTATATTACAGTCACGTCGGCAATTTGTAGTAAGGATCAGCACCTATCCTGTAAATACTTGCAACAAAACCACTACAAAGAATGGATTTCATTCAATACTTTCATTCCCCTATGGATGGTACAGATTGCTTTTCATCTTAATTAATTGTCCCATCAGGTTTCTGAACTCTACCAAAAACTTTAGCAAAGGAGACCAAAGCAGTTCAAATTACTCTCTAAAGCTGAAAAATTTTAAATAATTCCTGATAATGCGTAAACAACTGGCTACCAACTACCTCCTTCCCAACCACACCATATCCTAGTGATATGACTAAGGAAGGATGGAAGGAAGAAATGACAGCATGAAACCTATGATTTGGAAGCAAATATACCCTTTCTCTTTTCCACCTTGTGGAAACAGTTTTTCCTTTACAACTCCCATTCCTTTGCCTCTGTTGTGAAACTGAAGAATAATTCCCTTTTTACAAGGTAAAGAAAATCCAAGGTTATTGCCACACTGCCTGCATTAGAAAGATCTCATTCATACCTGCGGGCTGAGATGGCACACCAAAGCACTCTCTAAGTGTACCTGTCTTTTGCTCTTTTTGTCCACTGAGTGCCAGTGTGAGCATGTGCCACCCATTTCCAGCACTACATCACATACCAAAGCCCTTGGGCTTGGTCCCTGCACACCACAGAAAGCGCTCCTGGGGACCGGTGCTCACCAACACAAACAGGGGTCACAGAATCAAGCCCCTAATTAGTGTGTTTTTCTTTACATTTTTATTTCTCTTACTGCTGAAACCTTATGAATTTTGTTTGGACTGAAACACTTGTATTGTCACATTCACAGTTTTTTTAGAGAGTGACTTCTACATTAGGGAAAATCTCCAGCATGCGGCTCATTTAAATGTAAATCTATTTACCTTTCATGCTTTCTTTGCCCTTTTCACCAACTATGAAGCATATTTGCGTGTTAACCAGGAGCTGCCTCCTCTATAGCTGTTCTCTTTCCTCAGCTCAAGTTGTGAAGCCAAGTTGTGACATCAGTCCTTGATCCAGAAATGAGGCACAAACAACAGTATGGAATTTAACCTGGCAATCTGGAACTTCGATATAGTGACAGTACGAACAACTCCTTCTGCTCTTTCCCCTGCACAAGGGAGAGGAGGGATGAAACACGACGTTACCCCCAACTTCGTCAACCAAAGATTTATGCAAGAGATGAGGGTGCTCAGGGAAGATTCTTAGCCTAAAACTTAGAACACCATCCTAAAACGGAGTTTATGCCAGTAGCTTCTAACACCTTATTCCAAGGGCCGGTCACCTCATTGCTTGCCTTCAGGGCAATAAAAGGCAACCCAACAAGTCCTGAACCAACCTGCGATGGCAGACTTGGGCCATACTCAAAAGGGTTTGCAGCACCACTACAGGTAGCTTTACAGTGCCTGAAGGGATTGCAGCTCCCCGAGGCTTTGTCCTCAGAGGTTCAATGCAAAAGGCAAATGACACGTTTCCTCCTCCGAAAACCCAGTTAAATTGTTACCAGCATGTGGGACAGAAGAGGAGAGAGGGTTAAGGCCAAACTTCAGTCCCAGGCTAGCAGGGAGTATGGGATTCAGTGCAGGTGCTAGTGGAAAGGAGCCCATCTGCAGCCAAGGGAATCTCTGATCGCTCCCTGCCCCACCAGATCTTGCTCAGGGCAGAGAGATGATCTATATTCTGAGTACAGATGAAGGTAACAGCTTCACTGCAGCAGAAAGAAGGACAAGGAGGGCCGTAGCAGACAAATTTCTTGTTTGGTTAAGTACCTACAGGAAGAGCAAAGAGACTATGAAACCAGAGAATAAAATCAGGAGATGATAGTAAAAATTTTTTTTCATTGAGATTCACTGCCTGGTGGAGAGACTGTCTTTAAGAAGCACTGTCTCCAGCCCATCATTACTCAGCCGTTTCCTTCTTTAAAAAAAAAAAAAGAAAAAAAAAAGAAAAAAAGACTAGTGGTTTGGTATTTTTCAAGTCTGGAGTAAATGTTTGAAACAGCAGGGCATCTGTAAAACTGTTCTTCAATGCCTCAACAGCAAAGTCTGAGGGAAAAAAGCAACTTTAAAGGCAATTCAAATGGCAGAAGTTAGTAACAATGGAAATGAAATAAATTAGGTGGTTCTGGGTTTTTTGTTTTGTTTTTCCAGAGTAAAAGAAGAAAAAAAAATTACAGTTCTCGAAAAAATTTTAGTTTACATCTCAAAGGGCACCATAACCCCCAGGAAATTGCCTGCAAGTTCAGCGATGGTGTCACTGTGACATAATATTTGACAAAAAATGGATAGCAGCTCCCTGGTGTGGCCCTCAGTTTCTAGAGAAGAGGATATCAAAAGGATCCAGAAACCTATTGGAGGTGCAGCCACGGAGGGGTCGAGAACAGACAATTCCCTCGTCAATATTTATTATAATTGTTAACTAAACTGCTAGGTAATAATGAAATTAACACGTTTGATATCAAAACATAACAGTAAGCTGTGGTATAATGCAATTCATTTCCACACAAGAGGGAATTACCTTCATAACTGAGCTATGGATCATTTCTTTGCCAGTGGAAATAAATTGTGATCCATCCCTGCCCACAATGATCTACATATTGTATATACACTAATAAACTCATGTACCTGGCTCTACACAGACACCAGAGATCTACTATACAAGATCAGAGAAATATCACTGCTCCATTACGTTTCTGCAGGCAGAGGAAGTCCCCATGCAGCTACAACAGCCGCTACTCTGCTGATGTCCTGGGCCAAACTCAGCAATCTTCCGAGACGCCCACCAGCACAACAGCAACTGGCTCAAACCTCAACTGCTAGAGGTCCTCTTCAGCAGAAAGATGAAAAACATTGCATGGTTTTCATCC